CATCTGTTGGTACCTCAGTGGACTCAGCACTAGCCACATTGACGGGCTGTGTTTGGCACGTTGACAGTAAGGATTCTAGCTGTATTGTATGACTGACAGCCTCATGTAATAAATTTGGAGATATCTGTTTGACGGAAAGTGCTATCTGAGCATCTTGAATACACCTGACATATTGTGTGGGCGAGCGGCTCTGTCGCTGCTGCCTTGAGGCCAGGATAAGCTTTTAGTAGCTATGCACCTCAGCTCCTCTGCCAGGTCTCCCCATGACTTCGTAAATTTCTTTTCTCTAATAAGCAATTCTGCCCCGTACAAGTCATGCTTTGAGCTTGGTTCGAAGCATTCAGTGAGGGCCTCTACAGCATATGTATAGGTATTCTTACTGTCTTTTGGTAGTCGCTGAAATGCAGACTGGGCTCTGCCTGGCAACAGTACTTTAAAAAATTTCAGCCTGTCATCGTCATCCCAGCCATTAACTTCAGCGCAATTCTGAAAGTGGATGACCCATTGTCCCACTCACTGCACTTAAATTCCCCACTATACGGTTCAGGTAAAATTACAGGCTTAGTTGCCATAGTAGACCCACTGCGCCAATGTAATAATTAAGTCTTATCCAAATCCAAGTCACAGGAATATCAATAATAAGTATGTCACAGAAAGTAATAATCATCGACTAACATGTGGTTTTCTCTCGAAAATTAGTTATTCTCCCACAATTACATATATTAACACAAGTGCACACCCGCACTCATCACACTATCTCTGTTCTATGTTTTGTGGACTATCTCTCTTTTTATATTGTTAATTTTCTTTTAAATTGATTATTTTTTCTACATTTCAATTTTGGTGAATAAAAAAAATTTCTATTAAATAAGAAGTAGGGTTGGCAAACAATAAAACAAACAAGGGATTATTTCCACCATAACAATAATTAATAGTTGAATTTATAGTTATAAAGTTTAATTATTAAAAATAATTTATTCATGAAAATAATACAAAAATTTTAAAACTTCCTTTGCAAAAAATAATAACGTGGCGAGTCCAATTACAATTCCTAACAAGTATATACATCAATATTTTTAATTTTTGTTATTATACTAAGCCACAAAATTCAAAGAATGCATTAGTTAAGTAATTATCCTTAATTTAGATATTTTGTTGTGATGCCCGTATTTATTGAAGCAATACTAGCTGAAAGTCTTATTTATATTTATCACTAAAATTAATTTACATCATAGTAATGTAGTGGACAAATCAATAGGTACAGAGGCACAATTATTATTAAAATTCAATTTACATTGTAGTCTGCGTATAATCATTTTCTGCAAAATATGGTTTGAAATTTTTGTATCATTTTCAAAAATGATATATTTTTCTATTAATTGAAGTATTAATTATTATTATGGTTACCATCTTGTTTCTTTTATTTCTGACAACCCAACTTTTTTTATTTAATAGAAATTTTTTTATTTTCTTGTTTCAATACTTTTTAAAATTTTATTGCTAAATAATACTTTTCATTGATTATTAGTGCATTAATGCAAGAAAAGAATTTTCAAATAACAACCATGAGAAGACCTACCGCATATTAAAAACAGTTTTTATACCATCATTTTTTTTATTTTTGAATTATTAATTATATTTATAGCCTAGCTCATAATTATTAATCATTAGTAGTCATAACTAAGATCTATGACCGGCTCTGAAACTATTTGAGTTTACATTCAGCTTCAGTTCAAACTTTCCCGCTCACAGCTCTCAAACTTCTGCAGTTCAAGTTTGCTTTGCAACCTTTTTCTGTGAAAAAGCAGCAACTCAGTTCAGTTCAAACTTATATTAGCTATCATTATGTTTTCTTATAGTTTAAGGATTATGATGAGCATTATAGAGTTTCTCCTCCTCCTCCACTACCACCAGTAGTTGGATGGCCTCCACCACCACCTCCTGCCGGAGGCCTGCCACAACCACTACCAGATGATGCTGGTCTTCCCCCACCAGCACCACCAATTCCTCTGCCACCTCCAGTGGCTGGAGGTCCTCTGCCATTTTACCCTGCTGCTCCAGCACTCCATGCAGGTGGAGCTTGAGGCCCTCTTGGCTCTGCAAATGCAGAGGCAGTTCATTATTATGGCAGTTACGCCAAGTCAATTGAGAAATTGTAAGATTATTTTAGTTATGATCTGAAGTTTATATGGATACCAGTTAAAGTACCAGGTAAGCAAAAAGTGGATCTACTGGGATTTGAGCCTGCCATGGCCATCAGTATTGAAATTCATTACAAACTATTCTTTTCACTTCTGCAGAGGCTGAAGTCACTAAGAAAATTAGGAACATCTGCACTCAGTATGGTAGAGAACACCAGAAATACTAGAAAAGGCCATACCGGCACAGGAACAGATCAAGTATACCAATCAATATGGCCACATTTTGAAAAATAACATTTCTTAGATGACTTTATCTCAAGAAGATCTATTGATGAAAGGTAATTGCATATACGTACATAAATCATGTGAATGTATGCTTAAGATGCTTTAGTTAAAGCAATTGTTATATCATGTTGTGCTGCTAGTGAACTGACCCCACTTCAGAATTAACATACTCCATTATAGTCTCTAAATAGTTTAGAACTCTCCTTCGCATGATTACTTCCTTTATTTGTCAAATTCTTGAAACACTCGCTATTTTCATCATTATGTCATTGAACAGGTATTATAGCATGAGTATCTTCATCTTCAAAATCCAAACTTTGATGGGGAGTATAGATTGAACAAGATCCTGTTTGTGATTGTAAAAGTTGTGCAAGGTGCAACGAGCTAAAACAATGACTTCAGCCTTTTCTGGTACAAGTGCACCTGGGGTAATCAAAACTCTAAATCTGTTGCCTAGTATGCCAAAGGCATTTTCTACTACTCTTCTTGCCCTACTCAGTCTGTAGTTGTAATTATGTCTATTATGTGTCAGTCCATTTTGGCTAAACATAAAAAATTTAAAAAACAAGGTTAATTAGGATTCCGAACGACCAACAAAAATACGAAATGAAAATCCTACTTGTGACGCAAATTCTACTCTACATGGTGCTTTTAATGTTATTATGTAAAAATTACGAATCACCTTGCAATGTAGAGTAGAATTTGCGTCTCGTGTAAGGGATTTTCATTTCGTCTTTTTTTTGGTCGTTTGGAATCCAACTTAACCTTGTTTTTTTAATCTTTTATGTTCTTGTTTGTGTTGATTTTTTTATTTTATTTATAGTATTTTTTTAGTTGCAATTGTGATACTTGTTGATTTTACGCAAACAATAATTTTTTTTATTAATAATGTTATGATTGTTGTGACATTTATGAGAGACAGCATTGAACAGACATGCTGAAGGAATATCAACTGTACTGATGACAAGTGAAACTAATATTAGTCTTGAAAAAGTCCTGGTTAAAAATCTGTGAACTAAGAGTGTCCATCTTCCCTGCT